GGGGTAAACTCCAACACATGGCGGCTAAGCTGGGGAGCTATGAGCAAGCCCACACCAGCCCGCCGCCTCTCACCGCGGGCAACTCCAGAGTAGTAGAGAGTCCAGCCTCTCTCGAGGAGTAAAGTTCCAGAGCCCAAGCTGTGCGTGGAGGTGAGCCCGACTATATCTAGCCGGTACCTCTCAACCTCCTGCACAAGCTCGGGCTCCTTCCCGACCCTACCAGGGACATATAGCCCCCGACAACATAGCTCCTAGGATCACTCGGGTACTCAAACCCCTCCACCACAATAAGGTGGTGGTTCAAGGAGGGGCAAATTATGCACTGCAAATTATGCCTTCATAAATGACCACAAATGTGAATCAACACCTCTTTGACAGAGTCCCAACAAAACTTTAACAATGTGAGCTTTGAACTGCCCAAGTATTTAGTGCATGACTGTTGCACTGAATTCAGTTACAGTATATTTTCCACTGTGCTCATTATGTCTATTTTGTTTGGAACTTGGAGTTCTCTATGTATGATGTATGAGCCTATGCCCCCAGTGTGTTACCCTTCTGTTCTCAGCTATATTGTTATTGCAAGAATGAGAAACTCATCCCAGCTTCATTTCTTGCACTTCTAAACTGAGCAGCCCACAACCTATCATACCAAGGTTATTCTACTTTAAAAACCCAGTATGGTACAATACGGTATTTAGCTGCTTGCTTTATAAAATGGTCTCATCTTACCTCAGTCTCACTTCTCCTGTTGCTGCTGCTCCTGCTGCTGCTGTTCATCATGATACTGCACTTCAGCTGCAGGATATACCTCTGAGAAAATGAGCTGCAAAGTGTAGGAGATAAGAAGAGAAGCTGGACCTGCAGGCAGATGAGCCGGCTTGACAGAGCAGCAGATGCATATGCACGTATTCTATTATGGCGCCACAACAACAGAGATATTATGTTATAGAGAATTATGTAAATATGTTGCACAGCTGGATGTTCAGTGGAACCGAAGGGAGTGAAGGGAATTTTGATCATTTGCAGGGAATAATCACTTTGTTATTTATTTGCGTTGACTCAGTCTTTGTTGGTCTTTTTACGTGAGACACAGTCACTCCAGCACTATAGCAGTATGAGCAGGCTGCCCCGAGGTGTCCCAGCGTGCTGTGTGATTGGACGCCCCTGTCGTTACCAGGGGCGTGGAACCAAGCGAGCTCAATGGGAAACACATTGGTGTACCTCACCGGTGTATTAACCTAATGAGGAGGGGAGATGATGGCAACCGAAAACAGTTGTCTGCGTAAATCAATTGCCGAGGGGACGACAAGGAAGCTCAAATTCCCCTTGTCTTAAAGCGGCCCGACTGACGGAGAAACACCGGGGAGACTCAGCATCGGTAGCTGCTGTATCTGCAGCCTGCGAAAAGAGGGATGCGAGGATTCGAGAGGAGATAACAAATAAAACAAATGTCATATTTTTTCTTCGACAGTAACTTATGGGGTCTGCGTTCAGTTAGCAAATGGCGAGTTGAACCTGAAATTGTTAACGGTGTCGTTGGAAAAGCTCTTGGGGAGGAAATGAGGATAACAGGCAGATAGGGCGTTTTAAAGTCCACCTTTTGTCGTGGACAGTCGGCTAACGTTAGCGGGGGTTTTCTGATACTGGAATTGGCCGTTTGCGTGGACCGTGTCGCTAGCGTGAGTTAGCCGAGGCTACTGGGTGGGTTTTCTTCGCTTTTTCAACTGGGTAAGTCAAATCTCTGTTTCATGTAAGTGCAACGTGAGCGTTTGCAGACCATTTAACTAGTATTATCTTATTGTTGGGTGTAATTTATCCCTAGTAAACATTAGTTCTGAATTGTAAAACTTAACGTTAACTTGCGTCGTCAGTTTTTCTTTGAGCGACGATGGCTTCTGCTAACAATATGTCTTTAACTCGTGGGCTTGTCTTTTCATCCACCTGCCTTTATTGACTCAAAGCAACTTAAACACCACAGGGGCGGACATCCGTAAACCCAATATTTATTTTCTGCATTGCCTCACACAGCAGGAAATAGTGAATTGTGTTAGGCTAACCGGCACATTTTTCTTTTGCAGCTCTTGAAATCGGATGAAATCTCGTCCATGCCATCCATCCCACTGTTGGTAGGGGCCTCTGCTGGCAAACTGCGTCATCGAGTGGGCGCTGCAGGTATTCATCTCTAAGTGTGCACGCTGGAAAGTCTAGCTATGGCACGAATGACATGGAAACCAAAGTGACTGAACTTTTAAATCACCATGGAGCAGGGCAATAAATCAAACTCCGAAACCCACCAACAGCTAAAATATCCATATACGCCAACCTCCAAGTGTGAACTGGCTACAAATATGCATAAGGTCACGGGTGATGGAAATATCAATCCTGTGGACTCAGTCGTGAGAGGGGGGAGTGACCCCAGTACATACCCTTCCTCCAGCTATCAGAGGAATGTGCATCAGAGATTCATAAGGAGAAACCTATGGTTTTCAGACACAGATGAGCAGGCATTTGAAGCACCTGAATGTGATGACAAGAATAAAATCCTAAACATAAACCTGCGAACAGTTGTGGACAGGGTGCGTGGGACTACCTCTGGGGTACAGGAGGGTTCCAGCACTGAAAGCCAAGTTGGGCAAAAAGAGAGCGCAAGTACCAATGACAAGGAGAAAGGTGGAGATGCATTAAATGTTACATGCAGTGATGGTGCTAGAAGTGCTGTCAAGGCAGCCAGTGAGGAGAATGAGGAAGAAGCAGAGATGAAAGCAGTCGCCACATCTCCCGGAGGAAGGTTCCTCAAATTTGACATTGAACTGGGAAGAGGGTCCTTCAAGACGGTCTACAAGGGTCTGGATACTGAGACTTGGGTGGAGGTTGCCTGGTGTGAGCTGCAGGTAATGTGCCTAAACTGTCCATTTGATTTTCAGTCTCTGTGACACCCCAGTTTTAGTGTAGACAAAGCATGTAAGTTTAAAAAGAGGCTGTTTTTTAATTTTTTACACTGGCAATAGAAATATATCAAATAACCACAAAAATACCAATTAATTTTTCTGCCGGACGTTGAGGTTGATTAGTGGATGAATGCCTGGCTGTCACGGGAAGCTCACTTTCTGTGCTGCTCTCTTTGTATGTGAAGGTTCATACATCATGATGTGTAAGGTCTTCAGGGAGCTGTCAATCAGCCATCTGCTAAATTGCAAATGGTTGCTAATAAATTTTAAATGGTTCACACAGCAAAGCATTTGTTGCTGCTCTGAAGATGCATTGAAGTAGAGTGATTAGCAGTTTTGCAAATGCACAAGGGGAGTCTGTCTTGTCTAGCATTACACAGATGGAAGAAAAACACCAACTCAGACTGTGCAGAAGTATTAACTAATTATTTCCGTCCTTTGGAGACTGCAGCAGGGATTATCTCTCTCGCCCTCTCCCTCTCTCTCCCAGGAGGCTTAAGGTGGGGACTACAGTAAGCACGACTGCCTCCCCCCAAAGAAAGAAAATCTGCACTGTGATTTGTTGTTTTTTCACAGTTCAGATTGAAATAGTTAAGGATTTCAACAGTTTTAAGTTCTGCCATTCTTCATTTTTGCTCGGGTCATTTGTCCAGCTAATGACACTGAACAGTTAGTGGACAGTGCAGGGAAGGCATGTGTGTGCTCTGTCCCAGCAGTGAGTCTGCATGTTATGAGCCGTGCTACTCCCTGCCTCTCTCCCTCTGTGCAACAGGAGGTAGGCAGACAGGAAGCAGCTGAAGTGTGCAGTACCCTACTGGGAACTGCATGGCCTCAATGAATACTTTGCCTAGGATACTGAAAACGTGCTGTGTTAGTTGCCCAAGAATACAGACTGCTTGATGTATCAAAAATATCTAAACCTGTTTTTTTTTTTTTATCACTGTAGCATCACAAGGCAGTGACTCATGTTATCACTGGAAAGGACTATAAAGATAACATACCAGTGGGTATGGGATGATTGAAGATCCAGTAGTGTTGACAGACACAGAATGACTTCATTTGGATGATATCATGTAGATTCATTCCTACATCTCCCTTAAATGCAGTTGGACTGATCATATGATAGGATGTGTAGAGGAAGCAATTTACTCTTTTATTTCTCCCTAGTGATCCAAAACCTCCCTCTAGTGGACAGTCAGTAATGGATGTTAAACACAATAGTGATGCTCGTCTCTTAGAATCGTGCTCTCATCTAGTTGCTTTTTCATATACGCCACTGCAGATCTAAGCCGAGTCTCCCATAAAAAATGGTTGGATAAGCAGAATCATATGTTGACCTGATCAATGTGTTTCATCAGGGTGCTCTCTGGCTCATTAACTTTATGAGCAGGTCAGAGCCATTGATTGAGAAATTGATTGCCTTTGTGTGGCTTTGTCTAAGTCTTTTTAAATTTTCTTGGTTAATGTTTGGACTGAAACTGACAGAACAATTTTGATTTTGATGATTAGAATAAATTGTCTTTTTTTTTTTTTTTTAAATCTTAAATCGCTTAAAATATATTGTCCAGGTTCTAAAACATGAGGATTTCCTGCATTTCTCAGACAAAACAAAACATTTGCTGATGCCAGCTTGGGCTTTAAGAAAATGTTGCGTCCCTTTTGGGCATGCACATGAGAAAATATGAGTCTTATTATGTCTAACCTATAGATCACAACCCACATGTATTTACTACAATAGACCAAGAAAACCAGCAGATGTTTGCATTGGAGACACCAGACCCAGAGGAATTATATGGGATTATCAAAATAGCAACAGTTCATTATTTCAGCTCTGAATAGTTTAATAGAGCTTTTATTCCATAGTGCACAAAACCACAATCAAAGTGTCATGTAAGTAATTTGCACAAAGTTTAGATGAAGTAGAGTGGGTAAATGTGGCAGCTGTGGCTCAGGAGGTAGAGCGTGTCGTCCCCTAATTGGGAGGTTGGCGACTCGAGTTCTGGCTTCTCCAGTCCACAAGTTGAAGTGTCCTTGAACAAGACACTGAACCCTAAATTGTTCCCTGTGATATCGCCGGTGTGTGAATGTGCGTGTGCTTGAGTGAATAGGTGAATGGGCAAATAGTGTGAAAGCGCTTTGAGTGTGCTGCAGTGGATAGAAAAGTGCTATGCAAGTATAAGAACATTTACCATTTAAATGGAACACATCTTGTTTCCCAGTCTGATACTATTGTAATCCAGTAAGTGACATGTTTTATTGACTTTCATGCGACAGTGGGAGATCGTAGCTCCAGTGGGCCTTATCAGCGTGCTTAAATGTTGTGCCGTTAACTGAGAAACACTGTGTAGTATATTAGGAATCACTGGTGTAATTGTGTTATGAACCTACACTACCCTCATATTCACTACCCTGTCTGTAGAAGATGAAGAGAAAGTGTTTTTCCTTGCTTCCAGTTGTCACATGGCTTTCTTGACTAGAAATTTTAGCGTTTATTCTTTGCATCTCTCTTCCTCCCCCTCTCCCAGCGTCTCACCCTCCCATGCCCATCTCCCCTACATCTTTGTTTCTGTGCCAGGCTGCTGGCATAACACAGATGGCCTTGGTTTAGGCAGGGATGTTATTCTGAGAGAAAGGTGTCTGAGTTTTTCATTGTTAAGACACACTTCTTGTGCTTTTCTTTGCCTTTGGTTATTATTGCTCACTAGAATTGATTTTTGAAACTCAGGAAACTTTGCCTTTCTGCCAGTTGTGGCTCTGTGTATAGATTTTTATCTCTGTGTTGAATGCTGTGCATGCATTTGCAGGCACATTTTACTTCCGACCTTGTACAGACTTCTCTCTGGTATTTGGCAGGGAGTTTGTTGTCCTGTACATGGCAGCGATATGATGGGTGTTTGTTGGAGATTAGGCCGTTCTTGAACCAAACAAACATAGCAAATCACCCTGTCAAACACTAGGTCATTGTCTTTGCTCCTGCATAGTGTTGAAGACGGTATCCAGGAATCCCAGGTGTTGCTCTTAAATGGTTTGACTTAAATGGTTTGAATCATATTTGTCAAATAGGAGTTTTTCTGTATTGAGGAGTATTTATCTTGTGTTGCTCATCTCACCTGTGGGGCCCCACAGGGATCTACGTATTCTTGGCGCAATTTTGTTTTTGTTATATTTGATCCGTTTGGGTTCAGTCTTCAGGAAATGTGGGTTATCTTGTCATTGTTATGCCGATGGCATCCACATTTACCTGTCTCTTAATGGGAAGAAGTGCCCGCCACGTCAAACTGGCGTGGATTTCCTGGGTGATATTAATATATTTTCAGTATGTTTCCTACACATTAACAAATGTAAACAGAATGTGTACTGTTTGGAACCTAGTGGTATTTGTAACGGCGATCTTTGACTGATTGCCCTATATTTTGAAACCCCAGCTAAAAAAAAAAAAAAAAAAAAAAAAAAAATGTGAGTTTTATTTGATAGTGCCCTTAAGATGAAAAAAATGGGTCAGTTCAGTGGTCAGAGCTCACTTCTTTCAGCTGAGATTATTAGTAAAACTTAAGCAATTGTTTTTTCATTCAGTGACTTAAACATGGTGGGGACTGGGTTTTTGCTGTGGTGGCTCCAAGACTGTGGAACAGACTTCCTCTACACATTAGGTCTGCCCTTTAGCACTTTAACCTGGGTTTAGAAAGGTGCTATATATGTTAACTTTCCTTTGCTTATTGGTGTCTCATAGATCAATATTCATACGACTAACAACAACAAACCCGTGACTACTCGGGTTGAAAAGAAACATAGATGGAGGTGCCAAAGTGGGTCATTGGTTACAGCCCATTTGGCATTAGTAGGCCCCACAAGAGCAGCCAGACCCAGCGGCTGTAGGTAATAGTGCCTTGTTAGCGGCCCCATCTTGAGGCATGCCTGGTTTCCCATGTCACTCAGCAAACTGACGATCCTGAAGGAAGAAGGACGAGCCTGTTAGAGCCACAGCAGTGTGGTCTGTGGTATAGCACCAGTGGGTTGGTTGACACAGGCTAGTCAATGAATATACTGTAGATGTAATACATAGAGGGCCATCACTAGCCAGCATTATTAAAACCTTTTTGCACAACCAGAATATGAGCACTTAAGAAGCTAACTTGGTACCTGCTGTTTTATTAGGTGCACCTGTATAAATGCAATCCAACACAACAACTTAGTCATATATTCAACTTTAAAAAGAGGATCATGCTCAGATTTGATCGACAGTGTCCGAAAGATATTTATGTTACTAGATTGTGTTACATATAGAGAATCTGAAGGTATGTCACGCCATGTTGAATGTTGGGAGAGGGGCACCATTTTTGGTGGGATGCGCTGTATTTACCTGCATACATTCTTGTTTTGGTTGCTTAAATTGTTTAGATGTTAATGTTGGCAGATAAACACAACAGATTAATTTCTGTCCTGTCTGCGCTCAAACTAAACACTTAAGTGAACATTTGGTCATAGTTTTGGATGAGAAGGGGTGAGGTGTGTGTGTGTATGTGTGTAGTAGAAGGCAGTGGGGATCACGGGGGACAGAGTTCAGTAAGGAGACAGCTGTGGGGAAGAAGTAGTACACAGATTAATGAATCCCATCTTGTTAATGTGAATTATGATTCTTAGCCAGCAGCTCCTATACCCTGCTGCTATGATCCCTTTTTGCCTACTGTAATCTGGAATAGTACTTGTAGTTAGCTTTTTAAAAATTATTATTATTATTTTTTTAACCAAAGGATTTTTGTTACTGGTTTTATTGTTGATGACCTGGGCAGTATTTGGTAAAGGAACCACAGAAATGAAGGAAAGAGGCCTGATTTTACATTCTTCATGCAGGAAAAACCCTTGCTTGGATCAGGGTATTATGCTGATTCAAGGCCGTCTCTCTGGCTCTGTGCCCCCACACTGCAGTGGCTGATAAAATGCTT